GCCAGTTTCGTGGGCTCCTGGGAGGCACGGCGGAATCGGGGAGTAAGCGGACCACTTGAGACCTTGCATCTCCCTGGGTGGTTGGGAAATGTGCGCCTGTCGCCACTTTCGTGGGCTCCTGGGAGCACGGCGGAGTCGGAGAGTAAACGGATCATTTCAGACCTCGCAGCTCCCTGTGTGGTTGCGAATTGCGCAACTGTCGCCACTTCCGTGGGCTCCTCGGAAGCCTTATAGATCACCCAAGGAAGGGCTACCCTAGGGCTACCCCTAGGCCTACCCCTAGGGCTACCCTAGGGCTACCCCTAGGGCCTACCCCTAGGGCTACCCTAGGGCTACCCTAGGGCCTACCCCTAGGGCTACCCTGGGGCTACCCCTAGGGCCTACCCCTAGGGCTACCCTAGGGCTACCCCTAGGGCCTACCCCTAGGGCTACCCTAGGGCTACCCTAGGGCCTACCCCTAGGGCTACCCTAGGGCTACCTCTGGGGCCTACCCCTAGGGGTACCCTAGGGCTACCCTAGGGTGTCCAGTAGGGCCTATCCTTGGGAAGCCTAGGGCCTTCAGTATGTGTAATCCGCCACACAAGCAAGCAATGCCTTTAATGTCCCGCCCGCCCGCCCGACAAAAGGAATCAGCTTGTAATCCGCCATAATAGAAATCAACTTGCAATCCGCTGCCAAATGGAATCACTTTGTCATCCGCCACGAAAGCAATCAATGCATTTAATGTCCCGCCCGCCCGCCCGACCAAAGGAATAAGTTTGCAATCCGCTGCCAAAGGGAATCCATGTGTAATTCACCACACAAGCAATTATTGCCTTCAATGTCCCGCCCGCCCGCCCGGCAAAAGGCGCCCGACCAAAGGAATAAGTTGAAAATCCGCTGCCAAAGGGAATCCATTCGCAATTCACCAAACAAGCAATCATTGCCTTTAATGTCCCGCCCGCCCGCCAGACAAAAGGAATCAATGTGTAATCTGCCACAATAAGAATCAGTTTGCCATCCGCCACACAAGCAATCAATGCCTTTAATGTCCCGCCCGCCCGCCCGACAAAAGGAATCAGCTTGTAATCCGCCACAAATGGAATCTACTCGTAATCCGGTACCAACGGGAAGCAATTGGTAATCCACCACACAAGCAAGCAATCAATGCCTTTAATGTCCCGCCCGCCCGCCCGACTAAAGGCATCAACCCTAGGATAGACCGGTGAGGGGGGGTCTGTGAGGGGGGGTCAGCGAGGGGGGGTCCCAGAGGGGGGGTCCCAGAGGGGGGGTCCCAGAGGGGGGGTCAGCGAGGGGGGGTCCCGAGGGGGGGTCAGCGAGGGGGGGTCTGCGAGGGGGGGTCAGCGAGGGGGGGTCAGGGGGGTCCCAGAGGGGGGGTCAGCGAGGGGGGGTCAGAGGGGGGGTCTGCGAGGGGGGGGCGAGGGGGGGTCAGCGAGGGGGGTGGGGGAGCGAGGGGGGGTCTGTGAGGGGGGTCCCAGAGGGGGGGTCAGCGAGGGGGGGTCCCAGAGGGGGGGTCAGCGAGGGGGGGTCCCAGGGGGGGTCAGCGAGGGGGGGTCAGCGAGGGGGGGTCAGCGAGGGGGGGTCAGCGAGGGGGGGTCTGCGAGGGGGGGTCAGCGAGGGGGGGTCCCAGAGGGGGGGTCTGCGAGGGGGGGTCTGCGGCGCCGGGGCCGCGGTCGCCGGGGGGCGGCGCGGGCGCCCTGCCCTCGGAAGGGGGAGCGGGGGGGGGGGAAGCAGGGGATCGAGGGAGTAGCGAGGGAGGAGGAGGAGGTGGAGGAGGAGGAGGAGGAGGAGGAGGAGGAGGAGGAGGAGGAGGTGGCGGCGGAGGAGGAGGAGGCGGCGGGAGCAGGGGGGAGGGAGGAGGCGGGCGGACGGAGTGAGGAGGGAGGAGGGAGGAGGCGTGCGGAGGGAGGAGGGAGGAGGGATGCTGCCGGCTCGGATTCCCGCTACAAAGGGGTCCGGCTACCCCTGGGGCCCACCCCTAGGGCTACCCTAGGGCTACCCTTGGGAAGCCTAGGGCCTTGGGTAGGGCCTACCCTTGGGAAGCCTAGGGCCTTGGGTAGGGCCTACCCTTGGGAAGCCTAGGGCCTTGGGTAGGGCCTACCCTTGGGAAGCCTAGGGCCTTGGGTAGGGCCTACCCTTGGGAAGCCTAGGGCCTTGGGTAGGGCCTACCCTTGGGAAGCCTAGGGCCTTGGGTAGGGCCTAGGGTAGCCAAGGCCCCCGGTGATCTATACCTCGGAAGCACGGCGGAGTCGGGGAGTAAACGGGCCAGACGGGACCTGGCTTCTTCTCCCTGGATGTCTGCGACCTGTTCACATGTTGTTACTTTCGTTGGCTCCTGGAAGGCACGGCGGAGTCGGGGAGCAAACGGACCACTTGCGACCTCGCAGCTCCGTGGAGCTTGCGAACTGTGCGCCTGCCGCCACTTTTTTGGGGCTCCTGGGAGGCACGGCGGAGTCGGGGAGCAAACGGACCCAGTCGGGTCCTCGCAGTTCCCTGGGGGGCTGCGAAATGTGCAACTGTCGCCAGTTTCGTGGGCTCCTGGGAGGTCAGCGGAGTAGGGGAGTACGCGCACCCAGCCGGGACCTCGCAGCTTCTCTGGGTGGTTGCGAACTGCGCAAATGTCGCCACTTTCGTGGGCTCCTGGGAGGCACGGCGGAATAGCTGAGTACGCGCACCCAGCCGAGACGTCGCAATTCTTTGGGTGGCTGCGAGCTGTGCAGCGGTCTCCACTTCCGTGATCTGTTGGGATGTCCAGTGGAATCGGGGGCCACGCGCACCCACTTTGGACCTCGCAACTGGGTGGCAGTGAGCTGCGCAAGTGTCGCCAGCGGAGACCTGGCAGCTGTCGCCACTTACGTGGGCTCCTGGGAGGTCCAGCGGAGTCCAGCCGAGTCGTCGCTGCTCCTTGGGTAGCTGCGAACCGCGCAGCTGTCGCCGCTTCCGTGACCTGTTGGGATGTTCAGCGGAGTCGGGGGCCACGCGCACCCATTTAGAACCTCGGAGCTCCCTGAGTAGCGGCGAGCTGCGCAACTGTCGCCACTCTCGTGGGCTCCTAGGAGGCACGGCGGAATAGCTGAGTACGCGCACCCAGCCGAGAGCTCGGTTCTCCCTGGGTGGTTGCGAACTGCGCAATTGTCGCCAGTTTCGTGGGCTCCTGGGAGGTCCAGCGGAGTCGGGGGCCACGCGCACCCAGCCGAGACGTCGCTGCTTCTTGGGTGGCTGCGAACTGCGCAGTCTTCGGAGGCACGGCGGGGCCGGGGGCCACGCGCACAGAGCCGAGGTTTCGCTACTCCCTGGCTGTCTGCGAATTGCGCAACTGTCGCCACTTTCGTGGGCTCGTGGGAGGCACGGTGGAGTCGGGGGCCACGCGCACCTAGCCGAGGCTCCCTCCTGGGCGGTCCAGCGGAGTCGGGGGCCACGCGCACCCAGGCGAGACCTCGCTGCTCCTTGGGTGGCTGCGAACTGCGCAACTGTCGCCGCTTCCGTGATCTGTTGGGATGTCCAGCGGAATCGGGGGCCACGCGCACCCACTCTGGACCTCGCAACTGGGTGGCAGTGAATTGCGCAAGTGTTGCCGCTTTCGTGTGCACCTGCGAGGTTCAGCGGGGTCGGGGGCCACGCGCACCCAGACGAGACATCGCGGTTCTATGGGTGGCTGTGAACTGCGCAAGTGTCACCGCTTTCGCGGGCTCCTGGGGAGGTCCAGCGGGGTCGGGGGCCACGCGCACCCATTTGAGACCTCGCAGCTCCCTGGGGGGCTGCGAACTGCGCAACTGTCGCCAGTTTCGTGGGCTCCTGGGAGGTCCAGCGGAGTCGGGGACCACGCGGTTCCAGCCGAGACCTCGCTGCTCCTTGGGATGTTGCGGAATGTGCAAGTGTCGCCACTCTTGTAGGCTCGTGGGGGGCACGGCGGAGGTGAGGGCAGCGCAGATCGTGCATATCTGGCGATGAGTTCGTTCGTGTAGAGCGCTCAGGCAAACAACCTCGCTTGGAGGAGGGGCTGTGGGTACATCTCGGACATTTTGTTTTACCTCCCGCCCCCCCCTCTTCCCCCAGGCCTCCCGCGTTCGCGCCAGCTTTAAAACCGTGTTGGCGTTGGTGGTTTTTGTCCCTGGATGGTCTTCCCTGTGCGCTCTCCCCGACCTACCGGGACCACCGTGGCTGCTGGCCGCCGTGCGGACCTCTGGGCGGACCGAGCGGCAGCCCCGAGTCGACCGCCCAGCGTCTGCGAGCGCCTTGTTGCTCGCAGCGTGTCCGTGCGCACGTTCTTGCAGCGGAGACCCAGGTCAAGAAACACCCTGCTTGCCTCCAGGGTGCCCTGGGTTTCTTGGCTGTCGATGTTTTTGCAATGGCAACCGTGGCGTTCCCACACCAAAAAATCCATGCACGTCCGGGTGTCTCAGGGTTGATTTCTTGTGGACTGGCCTCAACTGTACAAGTCGACGCGCGTCTGCTTTCAACAACTGCTGCACTACATGTGGCTGTTCGTGTACTCGTAGCCACGTGCACCTGCGCCGACCCGTACATTTTTTCGGGCCTGGTCGTTCGTGCCTGTGTGCGTGCAGCACTCGCCCCCTTAACGATCCTCTTCTTGGAGTCATGTGCGCTCGCGGCGGGTTCATCACGTACGGTTCAATCGGGCATGCGTCTTGCATCGCATGAGGGAAGCATGGGGAAACGTGTTGCGTTCACAACTTATGTGTTTTGTGTGTCTTGAGCATTTGTTGATGTCTCCCTTTTTCGCTGTGATTCAAGCCCACGAGATGATCGAATCGCATCATGTGGGCATCGATCCGATTCATGTTCCCCACGCGTGGTGCCTTGCATGTAGCTTGCGTGGTGGTGATTGCCGATGCAATATGCCTCCGCAGGTCAACCGCACACTGTGTGGATGGCGAATCCGAAGGAGGGCAAACTCGATTGTGATTTGGAAGTGGCAGTCGGGGGCTTTCACGTCTAAACTTGCCTGGCACGGTTTTGGCTCTTGCCTATGTGGTGAGGTCAGCGCGGTGTGGTTCTTCAACGCGGACAGATCCGAGGACCAGGCAACGGCTTTCCATCCATCTTTTGTGTTTTTTCGTCCATTGAGTTAGTAACATGTATTGCCAGCCGGCGTCGCTCGTTCAATATGCAATTCCAGCATTTTTGTGCGTAACTGTTTCTGTTGTGCGAGAGGGATATTTCCACACTCAAAGTCTCTCAAAGTGCTACTTTCTGCTCCCAGCTGTCATCCTCACAGAGCATCCTGAGCCACAAGGGTAATTACTTGACCATGCTGGCTCAACCGACGCGACAAGCGGTCAGCCACAGCACCGTGTTGTGTTCTCGTTAATGGCCCCCACTTCGAGCCCCCACTACGATGCTTGTATCAATGTGCACTGTCCCGTAGCCACATTGATTCCGCTTTCCATGTCGTCCTGGATTCTGTTCTAGACTGCGAACGCTCATCTCGATATACCCAATCGGGTCATGCTCTTCCGTGGGACGGTCCAGGGCAGCAGAATGACAGCTTCAATGTGCGCCAGGACCAGCGGGCCAATAGGACCACCACCTCGGAAACACCGTTCTGTCTGGTGCCGCCGAGGAACGTGGCACGGGGAATACCTAACACTATTGCCCCAGTGGTAGCAACAAGGGGACCGCCGCGCGACCATCACGGGCTCGCCCAGTGAACCACGGACTTGGCTCGAGCCGCAATAGAAGTGCCGCGGGATCACCACGGAGTCGCTGAGCGAGGGACTGGTCTGGCAGGCGGTGCCCTGGACCTCGGCGCAATGACGGCTGCCACGGGGCAGAGGGGCCCCCGTGGGACCCCTGCCGGGCGGACCGACAGTCTGACTGGCACGGGCCTCGGGCGCCGGCACTGCCGGGGCGCTGCAGACTGAAAACTCGCCGAGGGGGTGGCCACGTGACCACCCTCTGGATCAGGATGAGGCCGCCGCGGGACTACCGCTTGAGCCGTCCGATTCGGCCCACGCCGTGGGATCGCGGGACCGCGAGGCAGGCAGCGGCTCTGGTCTGCACCGCCAAGGATCTTGGCTTCAGAGCATTCCGCGGTGCCGTTGTTGTCATGCCGTTGCGGAGGTCTCTCAAGGCCACCCCTGATAAAGAAAGACTCCCGAGCCCAGCTCCGCGGTGCAACCGTGTTAATCAGCGACGAAATCCGAGCCCTACCCGGCCTCCCATTGCTTCAGGTCTGCAGCGGTTGATTGGTGGGGCCCGCAGTTTTCGATCCCCGACCAGTGTTTTGGGGCTTCCCAGGGTTTGAACTTGTAGGGGTAGGTTTCACATGTGGTTGCCCAGTCGTCCTATCCTCCGTTGCCACTGATTCAGAAGCAAGAGTGGAATAATCATGAACTTTAGGAGGTCCGCGCTGATTTGTGCTGGACCCTCCTCTCTGGCGCGCGGAGCGCGCCAGGCAGGGGCGGCGCCAGATGAGCCGCCAGGTGGCTCTAGCGCCGATCCAAGAAATCCACGCGGACCTCCGAAAGTTTATCTTGACGCCAGTTTTTGTTCCGCGGGATACCTCTCCCGCGCATCTTCTGGCTGCGGCTTGTCTTCTCACTCCCCTGGCAGCCTGGGCAGCGCTCGAGAGGCTGATCTCCCTCCTCTGCCCTGCCGCCATAGACACATGATCTCTGAGGCCCCTCCTGCAGCTCCGAACCCTCGAGGTGCAGCTCCCGTGACACTGGCTTGAGCAGAGGGCGCGGGGGACCCTCATCCCTCCTCCTCCTCCTCCTCCTCCTCCTCCTCACTCCTCCTCCTCCTCCTCCTCCTCCTCACTCCTTCTCCTCCTCCTCCTCCTCCTCCTCCGCCTCCTCCTCCTCCTCCTCCTCCTCCTCCTCCTCACTCCTCCTCCCTGCTCCTTTATCCCTCCCTCTTTTTGACTCCGCAGGCCGCGCCGCGGGCGCAGGCTGGCAGCGTCGAACCGCCAAGGCGGTGGGGAGAAGGAGACGCCTGCGGCGGAAGAGCGCAGGGAGGTGCCCGCGAGGCGCCGCCCAGGGCTCAGGGGCGAGAGCCCCAGTGAGGGAGGGAGAGAGAGTGAGCCCGGAGCCTCAAGGACCGGGTGGGGCAGGGGCAGGAGAGGAGAGCCAGACAGAGCAAGTGAGAGGAAGGGAGGAGGAGGAGAGGGCGGGAGGGAGGACGGAGGAGAAGGAACAGCCGGAGAGAGCGGGACCCGAACGGACGCGACCGCGACACCCGGCTGGAGGCAAGACACGACAAGCGCTGGAGGCAAGACACGACAAGCACGACCCCACGACAACGACAACGGCGGAGACGACGGAAGCCACGAACGCAACAATGCCGGGCGGACGAGGACGACACGGGCTGGCGCGGCGGCCCAAAGGCGGCCCCAAGGGGCCGCAGACACCCCCCAGACGAAGGGGGACGACCTGGGGAGCAGACAGGGACCCAAACGAGGGGCCAGCCCCCCCGGGGCAGCAGAGGAGCACGGCGACTGGGCGGCGGCCGGGGGCCAGAGGGCCGGAGGAAGCGCCCTGGGTTCGCACCCCCCCAGCCCGGTCACCGCTGGGCTGTCTTGAGCAGCGGTGCGCGACGATTTTCAGCCCGCCGGGAGAGGAGCCGGGGGCGGCCGCACGACGGGGGTCGCCCAGGACCCCTCCGTCCCTGTGGGGGTGTCCCCCCCCCCCCCCAGAGATGGAGCGCCCCCCGAGCCCCCCCTCCCCTGGACCATCGCGCGCTTTGGCGCCCCAGGTGCCAACCGCCAACAGATTGTGCAGCACACCTCGGGGGTCCGAGGGGGTGGCGGGGCTTGTCTGGCCCTGCACACCAGAGGGGCGGACGCCGCCACTCGGAAGGGAGGGGCGGCGCCACACCACGCGCGCGGACGCCCCCAGCATAAAGGGGCTGTTGTGCAGCATCTCCAAGTCCGCCAGCAGGCTGGTCCAGCATCGCGGGCGCTGGCATCGCGCAGCGGTCCCGCATTTGCCGGCATGCTCCAGTGGGGGTGCTGGATCCCCATGCGATCGACTTCCCTGGGGCCAGACCCGTGTGCAGGTCGTAGTGGATGGTCACCGTCTGCACCTGAGAGGAGGATATGGGGGTCTCCTTGGCGGGGCTGACGACGACGTCGTCAGACCCGTCGAGGCAGCCAGTGCGGAGCCAGGGGGAAGGGGTGCGGGTCGATCCCGCAGAGTTTGCTTCAGAGGAAGCAAGAAGGGGGAGGGAGACGTCAGACCAGACCAGAGAGAGGGAGCCCCCCCAGGGTTGGGGGGGAGCCAGCCACCGTCTCAGAACGGATGCTCTGGCCGGCGGCCGAGTAGGGCGGACAACGGGCGCGGGGAGAGGAAACGGGAGCACCCCATGCCTTTTTGGGCGCGGGCCCCGCTCCCCAGTACGCCACGCCATTGTCTCAGCCCCCCGAGCATCGATCAACTCTGGGGGGAATGCGCGCCAGCAGTGTGGGGCCAGCGGGCGGGACGCGACCCGCCTTCCCGTCCCTCATCCGAACTGGGGAGTCGCAAGATGGCCAGCCGGGACTGCGCGGGGGTAGTTCGCCCAGCAACTGGGCGCGGCGCCCAGGAGGCGGCTGTCCTGTGCTGGCAGATCGGAAGGTGGATCGAGGGCAGGGGCTGGGGAAGCATGGGGTGAAACGTGCGTCGGCCGCACGGGGGCGTAGGGGTATGACTGGTGCGAGCCGGTCACCTCCAGCAAGGGGGCGGCGTGCCACGCGGTGACGTCGTCCGATTTAGAAGAGGCGCGGCTTCGGTCGCTCGTATGTGAGAGGTGGGTCGGTCCCACGTTGGGTGGGCCAGACCCGCTGTGGTCACGAGCTCTAGAGGAGGGCAAGCGGTATGTTGACCGTAGCCGGCGTTCACCGATGGGCACGGCGCGGGCGCGAAAGTGGGATTCACCAGGGGCACTCGGGGAACGACCGTGCGTCTGCGCGAGCTGCCGGCGGACGGGGACCCCGCTTCCTCGTCATGAGCGCGGGCTGGTGGCGGGCCAAGGCGTGATCCATCCCATACGTACGCTCCTCCGAGAGCTACCGCAGCGCGGTTGTCTGCGGCGCTGTCGCGTAGAGGCTGGTGGGTCTCCTGGACCGCCGTGGGGGCCGCGTCGATATTCGGGAGGGAGGGCGTGGCGACAGGCTGCTGTATGCGCCGGGGAGAGGGGCCGCCCGCAGGTTTCGTTGGCAGCAGTGTGGCCGGGGGCTGGGCAGCCGGGGGTCCAGCGGCCTTCGCTGGGGTACCCGTCAGGGCATCAGCCGCTGCGGCTGGCGGGGTGGCCTCGCGTGTAGCCGGGGAAGCGGACATGTTGGGGCCATTGTCCGTGTCTGTCTGCTCGGGGTACTCTCTGGTTGCCACTGTGTGGGCGGCCGCGGGGTTGCTGCCACCCAGGAGGGGCGCGGTTTGTGGGTGCCCTTTGGAGGTCGCCCCCTCGTTGCCGCGTTGGGGACAATAATCGCCCGCCTGAGACGCGCTGGGGCGCGGCGAGGCTGAAGTGCGAGCGCTGGCAGGGGCCCCTCCGGTTGTTTCCTCCTCCTCCTCCTCCTCCTCCTCCTCCCTCTCCTCTTTCTCCTCCTCCTCCTCGTCCTCCTCCTCCTCCTCCTACCCCTCCTACCCCTCCTCCTCTTCCTCCTCCCCTCCTCCTTCTCCTCCTCCTCCTCCTTCTCCTCCTCTTCCTCCTCCCCCTCCTCCTTCTCCTCCCCTCCTCCTCTCCTCCTCCTCCTCCTCCTCCTCCTCCTTCTGCTCCTCCTCCTCCTCCTCCTCCTCCTCCTCCCTTCCTTCTCTTCTTTCTCCTCCTCCTCTGCTTCTCTCCTCCTCCTCCTCCTCCTCCCTCGTCTCGGTTTCTCCTCTCGCGGACGGCCGCCGCGGCTGCCGCCCGCCGCGGCCGCCGCCCACCCGGCGCCCTGCGCGGCCGTGTGGCGGCGGCCGCCGCCTCTGGGGGGCCCGCCGTGCGGGCGGCCCTAGGGTTAGGTCGGGCTTGTCCCTAAGAGTATGTAAACATAGTGAAACATAATCCCTAGGTCGGGCTTGTCCCTAGGGTTAGGTCGGGCCTGTCCCTAGGGTTAGGTCGGGCTTGTCCCTAGGAATATTTAAGAATAGTGAGACTTGGGACGATTTCACGACCATTTTTGAGCATTTCGGGGGTATTTTTTGGGCAGTTTTTTATTTTTCCCCCAGATCCCCCTTGCTGGGGGACAGGCCCGACCTAACCCTCGGGGGGGAGGTGGCGGGGGCGGGCGGGACCAGCCCAGGGGGGGTCTGGCTCAGGACCTCCCTGTACAAGGGTCGGGAGGGAGCACATCTCCCAGCAGCTCGAGGTTGGATCTGAAGTTGCCGCGCGAGGCCTCCGGGCAGTTTTCCTCATCAGTTGGCGCTCTCGAGCGTTCAGAGGGGCAATGAAAGCTCAGGGGTGGAGACATCGGGCTGGAATCGGCGATACGTCGCCGATTGATCGGCGATAGGCCCCCGATATCGAGCCCGCACACCCCTGGGTGGGGTGTGATGTCAGGCCCCCATCGGCGATGAGTGGGCGACTGAGCCGCTCTTCGTGGGGGGGGAGGCGGCGGGAGAGCAGCCTGAAGAACTCCAGGCCGCTCGGCCGCGTGCTTTGTCTTTGGGGCGAGGCCGAGTAACCTCCAGTCGTGTTTTTTTCGCAGCGCGAGGGGGTCTTGGCAGGGCGGTGCGCGGAGCTGGAGGTCGGCAGCCGTGGGCCCCCGCTGCGGCCAGGCGCAGCTGGCCGGCGCCCTCGACGGCCCTGAGCACGTCGAGGGGGCGCCTCCTCCCGCGAGCCGTGCAGGCCCTTTGGCGCAGCGCCGGCGGCGGGCCGCGCGGGGCGCGCGAGGCCTTCCTCGACGAGTACAACAAGGTCGCGACGGACATGAAGGGCATGAGCAAGGACGGCCCTGGGTCGTCGAGGCCTCCCAGGTGGGGTCCGAGTAGATGGGGTCGGAGGATCGCGCCGCATCGGCGATGCATCGGCGATGCATCGGCGACGTCGGCGTGGAGAAAGTCGGGCTCCACATTGAGCCGCATCGCCGATGCATCGGCGATGCGGCGCGATCCTCCGACCCCATCTGCTCGGACCCCACCTGGGAGGCCTCGAAGGTCGTGAGATCCCGTCCCTCCTTCCCGCCCCCTCCATCTGCTGCCTCCTGCTCCCCCACCCCGGCCATCCCGCTTCTCGCCTCCCTCCTCCTGGTTCCTGCCCCCTCCCGTCTGCCGCCTGCTGCCGTGCCTCGTCCATCGCGCTGCCCGCCCCCCTCCCTTGACCTCTTCCCCGCCTCTTCTGGAACTTCTCGATGTGGCCACTGCTCATTTCCCCAAGCAGTGCGCTGCTGAGGATGCGGCTAATGATGAAAACAACTCTGGACGCTTCGCGTATCCCCCCCAGTCTGTACGGTACAGTCGGAGCTTGGCGCCACGTGTGCGACAGCTCCCTTCCGTCCGCTTCCAGTTCTGTGCTTGCGTTCCCCTCTCGGGCCGCCAGCGTCAACCCCCAATGAGGTCATTTTGTCCCTGGCATGTGCACTCGCTACAGCGGCCTATGCGCCTCTGCAGCCAATTATTTCGCTCTGTGCCCCAGTCGAGTCCTTGGAGCCGCCAATCAAAAAAGTATCCCCACCAGTTGTCCGCCGACTGTGGCTGGCGGCAAGTTGTCTTGCAAATTAGCCCCGTACCGTGACCCAGACGCCGCTTCCGCTCCCTGTCCGTTGCCTCGGAGCCGCTGACCGAAAAGTATCCCCACCAGTTGACCTCGGCTCACGACTGCTCAGCCTGTCTGGCTAGCGCAGGTCGTCCGTTCGGAGCCTGGCGCCACATTGGCGACTCACTCCAATGGCCCTCTTGTCATCACCCAGCACGACGGACTTGCCCATCGTGGTCCGCGTTCCCTCTGTGCGGGTTGTGCCATGGCAAGTTTGAATTCCGTGACATTTTGTCTTGTGCACGTGCCCGAGCTTGCAGAACGCCGTTCAGTCCAGCTCCACTTCCCTCAGCCCGCAGCTGCTGTCTGAGTGGGCCGGTTGGCCTGCGCCTGTCTTAGCTAATTCGCCTAGTTCGCGTCCCGGACTTTGCTCTCGCCGCCTGACCGTCGTCTCGTGGCCGCGACCGAAAAAGTATCCCCACCAGCGCCCGCCTTCAGCCCCCGGCGCCGCTCAGCGTCCCTCGGCGGCAGCTCTGGCAGCCGTGAGTGCGCTCGCTGGATAATTAGGTTTCGCCCGTAGCCCGGGACGACTTCTGACGCCGCCTGCGCCTTCGCTTGCGGCCGCTACCACAACAATTCCCCACCAGCCCATCCAGAAACAGATCGCCAGGCGAGTTGCCCTGATCAGGAAAGTGTAGAAGCATGCAGTGTAACAACCGCTTTGGAAGTGTTTTCTCGGAGGTCTCTTGGAGCCATCTTGGGCCTCTGTTGGGGTCCTCGCGGAGCCACTTGAGGCCCTCTTGGGGCCCTCTTGGGGTTCTCTTTGGGGGTCCAGGGGCCCTCTTGGGGTTCGTTGGGGGCGTCCGGGAGGCCTCCTGAGGCATTTTTTTTTGGCCCCGCTGTTCAAACAGAGGGGGTTCTAAATTCAGCCCCCCCCTCCCTTCGGAGGGTTAAAAATGGTGCCTCGGTGCCGTCTTGGGGCTCTCTTGGGGTGCTCTTGGGCGCTCTTGGGGCCGTCTTGTGTCACTCTTGGGCCCCTGTTGGTGCTCTGTTGGGCCGTCTTGCATCCATCTCGAGGCCTCAAGAGCCCGGAAGCGAAAATGCGAGAAGGCAGACGCACGATTTTCGTCAGTTTTTGGGGCCATTTTGGCTTCTTGGGGGCTTCCTTTGGCGGCTCGAAAGGCACCCGAAACTGTCTTGGGGCCTTCTTGGAGCCTGTTTGAGATATGTCGGACACTGCCTTGAGCCATCTTCGACTATTTTGAGCCATCTTGGAGGCCATCTGGGCTCTCTGAGGTCCTCTTGGAGCCATCTTGGGCCATTTGGGACGCTCTAACCCCTCGCGGGGCGCCCCGTCCAGACCCAGGGGGGGGAGCAGGCGGAGGGGTACCCCCCCCCCCCCCCGAGCAGGGGAAGGAGGGATTTTGGGCAGGGAGGACAAACATCGTTAACCCACCTACACCCAGAGGGCTAATGGGGTACAACTAATCGTAATATAACTAACGCTGCTGGTTGTGCGATAATGGCGAATCGCCATAGTCTTAGCACCATTATTTATTGTGAATCGTCAGACTCCATATTCCAAGTAGTCTTGCGTTTAATCAGAAAACGAAGTAATAACAATAGGAGGAGGACTGGGAGGAGGAGGAGGAGGAGGAGGAGGAGGAGGAGGAGGAGGAGGAGGAGGAGGAGGAGGTAATTCAGGGTCAAGGTAGTTGGGAGTGAAGGCGAGCCCATGCTGAAGAAGGAGGAGAGGGAGGAGGGAAGGAAGGAGAATAAGGAAGGAGGGTGGACGAGGGGGAAGGGGAGGGATGACCATTCCAACCTCACGATGTATCAAATCGTACCCTCCCGTCCCAAGTTGTAACTTCATGAGTCCCTACAAGCATGTGTGTCCACTGTGGGACGGTTCACTTTCTAGCCTCGGGAAGTGGAACTTGAAACTGTTCTTTTCCCTGCTTGTGGTTGGGGGCTCGAATGGGATTTTGAAAAGGTTCACTTTCCTGGCTGTGGTTAAGTTGGAGAGGGAGCTTGCCAAGGTTCACTCTCCAGCCTTGGGAAAGGGATCTTGAAACTATTCACTTTCTCGTTTGAGGTGTGGTGGGAAAGGGAACTTGCAAATGCTCATTCTCTATCCGCTGAAAGGGAACTTGAGAAGGTTCACTTTCCCGCTTGCGGTCGCGCTAGAGAGGGAACTTGCAAAGGTTTACTCTCTAGCCGCGGGAAACGGAACTCGAGTAGGTTTACTTTCTTGATTGTGCTTGGGCCGACGAGGAAATTTGAAAAGGTCACTGTCTAGCCGCGGGAAAGGGAATTTGAGAAGGTCTACTTTCCCGCCCAGCGTTTTAAAGATGTTGTTCTGAGCGTAAGAACTTGTAATATTGGTTGATTAGTACAACTCGTCGGGCGCTGTTTTTGAAATCTTCGGATGTTCCCGGAGGTCCCTGGAGGTCTCCAGGTGCCTTGATTCATCTGGAGGCTGAATGACGTAGCTTCCAACGAGAAAGTTGGTATGATTTTTAATAGTAGTTTTATGTGTTTCTGTAGCTTTTCTGTTTGCTCTCGGTGGTTTCGGGAGGTCACTGGAGGTACCCAGAGGTCTCCGGAAGGCTCTCGATTCAATTGGAGGTTGCGTGCTGGCGCCTGCAGCGAGATCTTTTTTGGAACTTCATGATTTACGTTGTAAGTGCTTTGTCGTTTTGAATGATTTGAGTTTTTTTTTGATGTCACCAGAGGTTCCTCAGAGGTTTCCCGGGCTCTTCAGATGGTTTCGGATTCAACTGGAGGCTGCCTAACCAAGGGCTCCCTCGAGGGCGCGAAGTTATTCGCGCTTCGCGCTTCGCGGTCCTCGTTCCTTCTCCCCCTCCTCCTCGTCCTCCTATTCTCCCTTTGGGAGGGCGGCGCGAGAGCGCGAAGTTATTCGCACTTCGCGCTTCGCGCAGCGCGAAGCGCGAAGTTGGGAGCCCTTGCTAACACAATTTCAACGAGAAAGCTGGTGCTATTGCAATACAATGTTTTTTTTTTTTTGTGCTTTCCAGAGGTTTCTGGAGGTCCCCCGGAGGTCTCCGGAGGGTTCTGGGTTCAACTGGCGGTCGCCTGCAGTCGCCTGCCACGAGATTCCTGTGCCAGGAGGCTTCCAGCGGGTTCCACTTTCAATTGGAGGTTGTTATTTTGTTGCGAAGAGGAAGGGGGATGAGGACGGATGGTGGAGAATGTCAGGAATGGGATGCACATATGGGGATCTTCGCGTCGAGTAACAAAACAATTATATGTATATGCCTATAAAAATATTTCGAGGCTTTGCGTATCCGAATCCCCACCATCCCATCCAGCAGCGAGGCCCAGGCGAGTTGCCATGATCAGGGAAGTGTGGGAGCACGCAGTGGAACAAAGAGGGGAGGCAGCCGTTAAACCGAAGATCAAGATCCGCCCGAGCAGGCACAGGAGTCAACCATAACTGCCTTCACGTACCTTTCGCTATTGTAGCCTGCTGGCAGCTCAGTAGGGCCAGTCTGGGATCATCTTGGGGCCATTTGGGAGGTCGTTGGAGCTCTCTTGGGGCCCTCTTTGGGGCCTTGGGGGTGCTCTTGGGGCCATCTTGGCGGCCATCGCTCAAAGGAGGGGGGGCATAAATGATTACGCCCTCCACGTCGGAAGCCGAACAGTTGCCTCTTGGAGCCCTCTTGGGCCCCTCCTCGGGCTGCCTTGCTGTCATCTTGAGGCCTCCAGAGCCCATTTGACACGTAAAGGCGAGAAGACAAACACCATTGATTTCCAGAAGGTTTTGGAAGAGTTTTAGCCTTTCGGGGGGGGATCCTTGGGAGGCTTCGTTGCCGCTTGGAGCCGGTTGGGGCCGTTCATGGCGCCTCTTGGAGGCATGCTGGAAACTATCTTGATCCATCTTGGGTCATCATGTACGAATTTGGAGGCCATCTTGGGCTATCTGCGGCCCTCTTGGGGCCATCTTGGACCATCTTGCACGCTCTAACGCTCGCGACGGGGCCCGTCCAAACCCGGGGGGGGGGGGTAGGGGCAGCGGTCAAGCTACCCCAAGCCGCGTGCCGTCTCGCTCGCCCCCACTACGTAAGTAGCACCCGAGTCTCAGCACAGGCAGGGGCCGCCATCGACAACCACCGGGAACCAAGGCAGACGCCAACAGGCGCGCGATGCCCGCGAGGTTTGCCGCGCGTGCCAGATGCGCCACCGCCCCGCCGTTTTCGTCAAAAACCAAAATGCAAAGTGACAAATGGTTTTCGCAATCACGTTGAATCTGTGTTTTTGAAAAGTAGGCTTCAGCAGCCAGTATGACACCCCCACGCCTTGGCAGATCTGACTTAGTTTTACGAAAGCCCTGCGGCCAGTGTCGCCGACCTGAAGGGGGACAGCCAGGACGACAACGACGCTCGCGAGCCCTCGTGGGGGCCCTTGTGGGCCCTGCTGGCCTCGGGGGCCCACCCCTGGGACCCCCCGGGACGGCCCCCTGTGATCCCCTCCCGGGATCCTCCCCCGCCTGGCGGGGAAGGGATCAGGGGCCTTCCCTTCGACTCTGTCGGTGTTCCCCCTCTTCCTGCTTTCGTGGGCTCTCTTGGGCCGTCTTGGTCGGAGAGAGAGGGGGGGGGGGGGGTCACCGCTCCCAGGACCCCCCCCCAGGACCTCCCCCAGGACCCCATCGTGACCCCACCCCCGGGACCCCCCGGGCGATCCCCCAGGGACCAAGGGAAGGGGCTCCCTATCGACTCGATGACAACGTGGTTCGATTTTCGTCTGGCTAGATCGCTTGAGGAGGAGGGCCCAGGGAAAGGGGAACAGTGGCCACGGCGATGACGACGGAAACGACGGTTCAAACGGAAAAACGTGTCACGCACGCCGACAGGGTCCGCGCATTTTTTGTTGAAGCGGATGGTTGGCCCGCACAGGGCAGGCAGAATGCCGCCCACACGCCGTCCTTCACAAAAAACCAATGCGAAGTAATCACGGGGCGTCCGCGCGTGATCCAGAGTTTGGTGCAAAGTGAATCGTGTGTTGTTCTTGCCAGGGATGGCGGGGGGGGTGATCGCTTCGCTCATTCCGCTGGCCCAGAATGCTGTGTCGCAAGCATTTGCCCGCGTGTTCGTTGCCCCTGCGGCGCTGCGGGGGCGGTAGTGGATTTCCAGAGGTGGAGGCGGCAGGTTTGTTTTCCTGCTGCTGCTGCTGCTGCTCGTCCTCCTCCTCCTCCTCCTCCTGCTCCTCCATTCCCTCCTCCTCCGCCTCCTCCTCTTCCTCTTCCTCTTCATCGTCATCGGTAAACTCTCCAGTTCCAGCTCATCTTTCCGATCGACCTCCCGCTCTTACAATCATCGTGCTGAGTCCAGTGTATATTCGTATGCAGGTATCCAGGTTGTGTTCGGAGCGTGATGCTCGACGAAGACATGGACGAGAGACCTTCAATGGCCTTTGGCCGATCCCGCCACCATGGTTGTGGGCCAGGGTCCTCGTGGAGGCTTCTTGGGGTCTTGGAGGGCTGTCGGGGGCCCCTGGGGAGCAGTTTGGGGTCTTCTGGGAGCGTCCTGGGAGCATCTTGTGGGTCTCTTGGGGCTCTTTGGGGCTTCTTAGGGGCCTCTTGGAGATGTTGGGGGGCTCGTGGGGGCCTCATGGCGTTCCTGGGCGCCCCTTGGGGCCGAGGTCCGACATGTCCGTTCGGGGTCCCCCTTCCGGGCACTCTTGGGGCCGTCCTGAGGCCCTTGTGGGCCATCTTGGAGGCCTCTTGGGCCGTCTTGGGGCCCTTTGGGCCGTCTTCAGGCCCTCTCGGAGGCCCTCGAGCCGTCTGAGGGCGATCTTGGGGGCCTATTGGGCCGTCTTGGAGCGTCGGGAGGCGGGAATGGCGAGAACGCCAAACTCTTTCAAACATCGAAGGACAAGCTATGATTCTGCTTCTTGGGGCGCTCTTGACTGCTCTGAGAGGCTTCTTTGGGCGTCTGGGAGATCTTTTTGGCTGTTTTGGGGCCATCTTGTGTGTCTTGGGGCGGCCTTGTGGCGTCTCGGAGCACTCCTGGACCTTCTCGGGGCCTCCTGGGGGCCTCTTGGACCTTGTTGGGGCTCTCTGGGGAGCCCCGAGGGCGGCGCCCAGGAGCCCCGGCGACCCCCAGGGGCTGCACGCGCGCGCGAACCTTCACCTGTTACTGGAGATCTTGGCATGCCTCTGGCCCGTTGGGCTGGCGAGTTAATAAGGATCAGTGATGGACCTCTCCCCGAAAATAAGGAAGAGGTTGGAGTGACAGTTCGCTAGACCACCTACGCCTAGAGGGCCAGTGGGATTTGTGTGGTTTCTCGTAGTAATTGGTGACAGGTGGTGTACAGACCGGACGCATTATGACCAACACGGAAGCGCTGATAGTACACGACAACCACCGCTGAAAGGAACATGCCCTCAGGACTTACAGCTCCAGCTGCAGATCTACATCAACCGTATTTTGGGACAGATGCAACTGGCCCAGCACGCAGCAGTGCGACAGTCACACGGTTTGTGTGGTACTGCGCAAGAAATGGCTACCGACGAGCGACATCCCGCCGAATTGGTATCTAGTGCCGCGCGCAGGTCGAGGCATAAACACCGATTCCGTGTCCTACATCCCGCTGTTGCTCAGCAACCGCTCTTTGAGCGCTCCTCAAGGGCTTGTGCCTCTGTCCTAGGGCAACGTTGGGCCATCCTGGCGGCTTCGCTGGCTTTCTTGAGGCCATCCTGGAAGCCCTTGCGAGTTTTGGAGAGCTCCAGGTAAGCGTCGGGCTACCCAGACAGCCTCGAGTCGTTAGGTGTGGTGCGTGGGAGGGGGCGGGGGCCCTCAGAAGATCTGTCTCAACACTGCCAGCCAGCATTGGGCACTGTTCAGGAGTGGAAGAAACACACAGAGACAATTAATTGCCGACTCCCAGGAAAATGGGAAAATATAGGAAATGGTGGGGGGAAAGGTGGGAAGACGAAAACCCGGAAAGTATGGGGAAACATGGGGACTCCCGGGATTTGTGTCTATTTATTTGTGAGTCTTTGGGTCCCTTGAACCGTACCACGCCTCAGCGTGCCACGGGGCACAGCAGCGGATTGAGGGGGGTATCGAGGCTCTGAGGGCACTCCAGTGTGTGCTTACGGCCCCCGCTATCACCCCCCAGGCACAGTCGTTTGGCGTCCCGTTGGGGCTCTCTTGCGGTGCTCTTGGAGGCCTTTCTGGCCTTCTTGGGGCTTGCCAGGCGGATGATGAGCAGGAGGAGTATGAGGGACAACCTCGGCCACTGCGCACGCCCCCCTCCCTCCCCTCCGAGCAGTCTTCCACGCGGGCAACTTTTGGCGTGTAAGGCACGAGATGGACGGTTGACACATATCCTAGAGTATTGAAACATGCCCATCTTCCAAGCCCGCCATTCCGTCTCCCCGCCCCCGGCTGACGAACCCGTCGCGGCCAGATCTGCGCCTTCAGCTGCACTGACAATCCGGCCTTCTGCACCAAGCAGGGCGTCAAGGATGCTGCGACCTCCCGCGCGACTGCTCTGCGTTGAAGCGAGGAAGTGCAAGCTCATGGAGATGCTACGTGACATGTGAGATCGAAGGGTGCATATGGGGTGCGGCACTGACGGAATGAATATTCGAATAATGGAACTGCGAGGAGGGAAGGGCAGTGATGGATTGAGTGAACAGGAAGGGGTAATTCGAATGGGAAAAGGAGGGAGACAGGGGGGTGCGTGGTTTCAAGTGTACACGCTGCAATGGCGCTCTGGACCACGCAAACAGTTTCGCGCATGCACGTGGTTGGGGTTGCCCGAAAGCGACCTCGGCACATCACAGTTGCCTATGCGCAGCTGCCAAGAAGCTGGTGAGAGAGTGAGAGGGAGAGAGAGAGAGAGAGATAGAGATATAGAAAGAGAGAGAGAGAGACAGAAAAAAGAGAGACAGAGAGAGATAGAGGGAGAGAGCGAGGGAGGGAGGGAGGGAGAGAGAGAAAGAGAGAGACACAACCACACACATGTGTATATATATATATCGATGTATGTATATATATATATAGAGAGAGAGAGAGAGAGAGAGAGAGAGAGAGAGAGAAAGAGAGCGAGAGAAGCAAAGAGAGAGAGAGAGAGAGAGAAAGAAAGAGGGGCATATAGAGGGATAGATGGAGAGAGAGAGAGATAAAGAGAGACATCGAAAGAGAGAGAGAGAGAGAGAAAGAGAGAGAGAGAGAGAGAGAGCGAGAAAGAGAGAGAGAGAGAGAGACAAAGAAATATAGAGAGAGAGAGAGAAAGGCAGCACGAGAGAGAGAGAGAGGGATAGACCGAGATATTGCGCAGCCTGGCTCAAGCTGCTGGCGCCTCGGGCCAGGATGGCTGGCTGGCTACGCGGGTGCGCGCTCGGGGGGGACGGCTGAGGAGCCAGTGCATGCTCCGCGAGCGGGGGGACGAGAACACTTCTGCGTTCCGCTTCAAGGGCTTCCACGACAGCAGCAACGACGGAGTTTATCACGTGCGGGATGGGCTGGACATCAACGGACAAAAGACTTATTGGAAGGATGACAACAGCATGTTTATGTATTATCCAGGTGCCTGCGGCCCCTTCAGACACCGTGCTGGTGCAGCATTCTTTCGGCGAGCTATTTGACCTACTGCTCAACATGAAGATTCTCTAGCCCCCAGGCTCGAGAAGGTTTTAGCATGTGACGATTCTTTCCGCAGGCTCGAGAAGGCCCCAATCTGTGCTGGCTATCTTCCTCCGTGCTCAACGTGTGTGACGCTTCCCTTCCCCAGCTCCAAGGGTGCCCTGACGCGTAAGATCTCGCTGTCCCAGCGGAGAGGTCGTAGCGCGTAGGTTGGGGGAGGGCAAAGATGAGACGGAGCAGAGACAGACAGACAAGCAGACACACAGACAGACAAGCCGAGAGAGAGAGAGACGGAGACGGACACACAGATACACAGACAGACACAGACAGACAGACAGACAGACAGACAGACAGACAGACAGACACACACAGACAGACAGACAGACAGAGACAGACAGAGAGAGACAGACAGACAGACAGAGACAGACAGACAGAGACACACAGACAGACAGACAGACGGACTTGCACAGACAGGACCGACTCTCCGAGCCCCTCACGCGGCTGGCCCGCCGACCGGCCACGTCGCCCCGGGCGCGCCCCGGGCCGTGCCCCAGGGAACCGAGGCCGCGGCACGGAGCGCCGCGCGGAGTCCGGGCTCTTAGCTCGGGCAGTGGCAACGGCCCGGCTCCGCCCGGGGGCCCTGGCCGGACTGCACCTCGGTGCGATCGCGGGGGCTTCTCCGGAGGCTGCGCGTGCCGTCCGTGCACGAACGCAGGAGGTCGTCGTCGTCGTCGTCGTCGTTGTCGTCGGCGTCGTCGTCGTCGTCGTCGTCGTCGTCGTCGTCTCCCTCCTCCTCGGAGGGGAAGAGGGGGGGCTGAGGGGGAGGACGAGGAGGAGGAGCGGGCCACGGCACAGGCCAAAGCAGGCCAAGGAGCTTCAGCGCCAGACAGACCGACAGGCAGGCAGACAGACAGAGAGAGAGACAGACAAACAGACAGACAGACAGACAGACAGACAGACAGACAGACAGACAGACAAAGAGACAAACAGACAGACAGACAGACAGACAGACAGACAGACAGACAGACAGACAGACAGACAGACAGACAGACATATGCGCAGACAGACAGATAGGCAGACAGACAGACAGAGAGACAAACAGACAGACAGACAGAGACAGACAGACAGACAGACAGACAGATAGAAAGAGAGAGAGAGAGACAGACAGACAGACAGACATATACGCAGACAGACAGACAGACAGACAGACAGACAGACAGACAGACAGACAGACAGACAGACAGACAGACAGACACACAGACACACAGACAGAGACAGACAGACAGACAGACAGACAGACAGACAGACAGACAGACAGACAGACAGAGAGACAAACAGACGGACAGACAGACAGACAGACAGACAGACAGACAGACAGACAGACAGACAGATAGAAAGAGAGAGAGAGAGAGAGGGAGACAGACAGACAGACAGACATATACGCAGACAGACAGATAGGCAGAGAGTGCGAGAGAGGGAGAGATGTAGAGAGACAGAACAGGGGAGGGGAAAGTCTTGCAATGACTCCTTGGGTGCCTTCTGCCTCGCTTGGGGGCTTCTTAGGGCCCTCCGGGGGCTACCTGGGCCTTCTGGGGGCTACCTGGGCCTTCTGGGGGCCTGGGTATTCAAAATAATGAAAAAATGGTCAGGGGACGATTCTTCGATCATTTTTTGACAACGTTGGAACATGTATATATATATATATATATATATCTATGTATATATATATATATATATATATATATATATATAGAATTTTTATATATATATACATATATCGAGTGTGGACCCGTGGATTAAATCCACGGCGTTGGGCGGATCGAAGCATGGTGGCGCGCGCTGGGTGGTGCGACGCTGCCAGCTACTGCCGTAGATCCCTTGAAGCTTGTTCTAATGCTGTTCCCCCGCCGAAGGCGCCCAATGCATCGAAACGGGGGCCGAAGTGTTTGAGCTTTGCAAGAGGCAGAAATTCAGGAGTCCAGGCCTGAGCAACGTTGGAAAATTCGCGCCAGGATCGCGGCGGACGCGGGAGCGGGTTCGGGCAAACGCGGCGCCGTCTCGGGCCGCGTTGGAGGCGCCGGAACGGCGTCGCGGCAAAGTAGGGAGCGCAGCGGGGCAGCCCCAGGGCCACCTGAGCGTCAAAACATTTTTTTTTGGCGCCCGCGAGGGGCCTCTCGCCTCTCGTCCGCCCCCCTCTGTTGGAAGCAATTTTGAAGCTTCTTGGGAGCCGTTTGGGAGCTCTATGGGGGCTGTTTTGGGCTCCTCGGGGGCTTCTCGGAGCCCTCTTGGGCCGGCAGGGCGCCTCGTGGGCCGTTTTGGGGCCGTCTTGGGCATCTTGGGCGCCTATCGGGCCGTCTTGGGGCCATCGTGGGCTGTCCTGAGCCCCTCTTGGGCCTCTCGTGGGGTCCTCTTGGGTCGTCTTGGGTGCCTCTTGGGCCGTCATGGGCCCGTCTGGAGCCATCTTTGGGCCCTCTTGGGGGTCGTCTTGGGCGATATTGGAAGCCTCTGGGGCCGTTTTGGACGCTTCGAAAGCAAGAAGCCGAATCTACTGAAATGTCAATTTTCCGAAGGGAATGTGACGACTTTGGCTTCAAGGAACCCTTTCGGGGACCCCTTGGACCCGCCTGGAATCGTCCGGGGGCGTCTTTGGGGCTCATGGGGCCGTCTGGAGAGCATCTTGGGCCGCCTGAGGTCGTCTCGGGGCCTCCATAGGCCGTCTCGGGGCTGTCCTGGGCCCCTCTTGGGCCTCTCGTGGGGTCCTCTTGGGTCGTCTTGGGCGCCTCTTGGGCCGTCCTGGGCCCGTCTGGAGCCATCTTTGGGCCCTCTTGGGGGCCGTCTTGGGCGATCTTGGAGGCCTCTGGGGCCGTTTTGGACGCTTCGAAGACCAATGAGCCGAATCTGCTGAAAATGACAAATTTTTCGAAGGGAATGTGACTTTTTTTTTGCTTTATGGAGCCCTTTCGGGGGACCCCTTGGACCCGCCTGGAGCCGTTCGGGGGCGTCTTTGGGGCTCATGGAGCCGTCTGGAGAACATCTTGGACCGCCTGATAGCCGTCTTGGGTCGTCTCGGGGCCTCCATGGGCCGTCTCAGGGCTCTTCTGGGGAGCTCCGGTGCTGTTTCGGGCCCTTCCGGGGGCCCTCCGGTGTGTATATATATATATATATATATATATATATATGTAGTTATCTATAATTAAGTGTATCTATATATATATATATATATATATATATATATATATATATATATATATATATATATATATATATATATATATACATTCTTCCAAAATCTGCCTGCAGGAGGACGTGCCCGACCGAAGTCTAGGGAAGTTCGTGGGTCACTCTGAGGCCCTCAGGCCATCCCTGGCCAAGAAGCCTGCAAAGCAGAGTGCATCAAAGAAGCTTCGTTCAGTGCTTCACACGATTTTGGCAGTCCGAGCCCTCTGACTCTTGGGGTCTCCCTTGAGTCGCGTACGAGGCTCTTCTTGGGCCGTCGTGGAAGCCATCCTGGGTAGCTTGGAGGCGCTGGAGATCGCTTGGGTGGAGTCGGGTCGCCCAGGGAGCCCTGGGAGAAGGGATGGCACGTGCGTGTGGACGCTAGTGGGAGGGGGGAGGGGCCAGGAAGGCTCACAGACTCCCTGCCAGACAGCATGATCGTTTTCGTATTCAATGTTTTGCCGATGGGCCTTGACCCTCGCACCCCCTCCCCCCCCATGGAGTAGATCTCGCGCCTGTTTCAAGCAGGTGGAGTCTCCCCCATGGGACGCACTGCTGCAAACAGTCGCAGCAGAGGTCCGGAGCCAGCCCCCTCCCTCCCCCCCCCCTTCCGCCCAATGTCGAGTCGCCGAATCAGGAAACGTCCCTAACGCCCCCACCGCGTGCCGAAGGGGCACGGTGGCGGCTTACTCCAAGAAGAGCAGGTGGCACATTGTGCCGAGCATCGACCCGGAGTCCGGGGAGGAGACCTTCCGGGTGGTGGAGGCCGGGGGCAGGGCCGGCCTCGCGTACTCCACCCCCAAGAGCGCCGGGGACTGCTCGAGGGCCGTCTGGGTGGAGAACGTGCAGGGCGACTGGCTCGAGGTGCTGCTGCAGGTGGAGCCGCTCTCTGGCTCCGCCCCGCGGGGTGCAGCGCCGGGCCCCGAGGAGGCGGCTCGCGTGCCGAGCAGCATGCAGCTCGAGCTGTGGGCAGAGGCCGCGCAGCAGACCTTCGAGAAGCGTGCGCGCGAGCAGGAGCTCGCCGCCGCAGAGCGGAATGCCATCCTGCGGAGGAAGGAGCTCGGAGCTTGGCGCTCCGGTCACGCGAGGAGCTCGGGCGCCCCCTCGGCGCACGGCGGCTGGCCGTCTCCAAGCGAGAGGGAGGTGAACCTCCCTCAGAACCCGCTGCTGAGCAAGCCGCAGGCAGCTGCCACCCGGGAGGATGCGCCTCCAGAGCGGGTGCCGCTGAAATTCTACCGTCCAGACGATGATCAGCCACGCCCAGGTGCGCAGCTGGCTCAGAGCAGGCCCCCTCATCGCAGTCTGGCGGGTGCGCGGCCCGAGGATGACGACGCATGTGGTGACCGAAAGCCGCTGGTGCAGCCCCCCGCTGTGGACGCGCCTGCCCCACGAGCGGCCGTGGCGCCAGCGCTTTCTCACATCTCGGCCCCTGAAGGAGTTCCCTCGCCAGCTGCCAGTGCAATCGCGAAGCTGCGAGGAGATGGGCGCCAACCTGCTGGGGCACTGCATCCGCCAGCGGCTCCGCCGGCGCTGCAGCCGCCGACCTCTTCGGCGGCCCCGTGCGCGGCGTCGACAGACTCTGGCGCCTCCTTGGGACTGCGGGACGGGCACGCCTCTGTCGCGGCGTCCGCTGCGAAGGCACCGTGGGAGCCGCAGCTGCAGGCGGGGCCACCGCCCGCGCCCGCAGCGGAGGCGGCGGCGTCGCAGCCACAGCCAGGCACCCCGCCGGAGGCGTTCGAGGTTTCAGCGCGACAGCTGGCGGTTCACGCTGGGAATGTGCGGACGGCGCCCAGGCCAGCCCTTGTGTCGGAGGTGCCCGTATTCAATGTGCCGGCACGGACTCCTAGCGCGCTTGACGAGGTGCGACCGGCGACGCAGCCCCCCCCGCCATCACTGCCTCGTGCAGCAGCAGCTGTGGCAGCGGCCCCCTCGGCGCTACGGCAGGCGTCGGCAAGAATGCCTGTGGAGGCCGCTCTCCAGGAGCAGCAGCAGCAGCAGCAGCAGCAGCAGCAGCAGCAGCAGCAGCAGCAGCAGCAGCAGCAGCAGCAGCAGCAGAAGCAGCAGCAGCAGCAGCAGCAGCAGAAGCAGCAGCAGCAGCAGCAGCAGCAGCAGCAGCAGCAGCAGCAGCAGCAGCAGCAGCAGCAGCAGCAACAGCAGCAGCAGCAGCAGCAGCAGCAGCAGCAGCAGCAGCGTGAGGCAGCTCTCGCCACGGGCTCGGCAGAGCAGCGCTCGCTGTCCAGAGAGGAGCCGTCCGAGCGTTGGCGCTGGAGCAGCTGGTGGCAGGGAGGGCCGTCCGTGCCGCCCGAGCGCCGTCTGGGGGCGGCCGCGGCTCACTCCAGAGAGGCGCCGTCCGAGCGCTCGTGGAGTGGCTCTGCTTCGTGGTCGAGCTGGTGGCACCCTGCTGAAAGATCTGCAGCGGGAGGTGATTGGCGAGAGCACTGGTACTTTGGGACTCCCAGATGGGGCCCGAGTAGATGGACTCGGAGGGTCGCGCCCAATCGCCGATGCATCGACGATGCGGCTCGATGTGGGGCCCGTATTCCCCCGCGCCGACGTCGCCGATGCATCGCCGACGCAGCGCCGATGCATCGGCGATGCACTGGCGATGCGGCTCGATCCCTCGACCCCGTCTGCTCGGACCCTGTCCAGGAGGCCTCCAGGTACAGCCACAGCGGCTGGGAGGGCCGGAGCTGGGGGCGCGGCGCCAGGCAGGCCACCGAGGGCAGCAGCCAGGCCCAGGCTGTGCATGGCACTGGGGAGGGAGCCGGCCACGAGCAGGGCAGCTGGAGGCAGGCTCCTCGAGGGGAAGCGGCCGACAGTTCGAAGCGAGACGTGGGCGCCAAGGGGCCCGACAGCAGTCCTGCTGCGGACGTTTCGAAGAGGGAAAAGAAGGACAAGAAAGACAAAAAGGACAAGAAGGATAAGAAGCATCGCAAGGACCCCGAGGGTGGAGAGAGAAAGAGGGCATTGAGGGAAGCGGCGCGGCAGATCCTGCTGGATGGCACCGAGGGCAAGAGATTGAAGATGTCTGTTGCCATGCGGGCTCACTCGGGCTTCCCTCCGAGCGTGGATGGATTCTTCATGTTTATGCGGGAGCGCGAGAAGATTAGAATTTGCCGAGCTCGCGGGAATCCACCGCCCTGGACCGACGACGAGGTGCTGCAGTGCACTCGCGTCTGCAACGTGAAGCGGGGGCACGACCGCACCGGGGTGCTCATCCAGCGGCTGCTCAGCGCGGAGGTGCCAGGGGAGCGGCGAAGGCTGGCAGGAGGAAGGCTGTACACCTAAGCATGCCTCACGCACCCTCTCCCTCCTCGCCGCTCCCCCCTCAGCGTGCGTCGTCCCCTTCGGGCCTCAGCGGATCCTGCCGTCTGCCTCGCAGGGCCTCCCCCCACCCCTGGCACCCTGCGTGCAAACCCCTCCGAGGGCCTCCAGGCGTTCGCCAGGCCCGAGCGTCGAGCGAGCAGCTCCGCTCGCAGCGCTCGGGCAGAAAAGTCTGGCCCGACCCGGTCGCCTCGCGGGGCGCGCGCGTGGTGGGAGTTGGGGGGAAGGCGAGGGGTCGGCCGTCGCTCGGCCACCACGCACCTCCTCCTCCTCTGCCTCCTCCTCCCCCCTACTTTGGGGACAAGGTCCACTTTGACTTCGAAAGGGGACCGTTGTCCCTTAGGTCCTTCCATGGGTCTTCCCGCGGCGTTTCTTGCCCATCTGGGCGCAACGGATGCCCGATAGGTGCCCGAAAACTCATAGCACGACTGTGACCAGTCGTCGTGTGCATTATCCTTCTCCCCATTCTCCTTGTCGCCCTCCGCCTTTCCTCCCTAGTCGTCGTCGTCGCCCTCCTCCTCCTCCTCTTCGTCCTCCTGTTTGCTCCTCATTCCTGTATGATTCGGAGCGATTCAATTCGCCGGCTGAGGCCGCGAGTCCAGTGCGTGCAGTGCACCTCGCGCCAACACGTGTGCTGCTCGAACGGTGCCCTGCCAATCAATCTCGGCGGGCGCCTCTGTTGCAGCCCGTTTTCGGCCATGGACGCTTCACTGACGCTGGCTTCTTCTGGTGGCTTGGCTTCCCACCGAAAATTTTACGGCATGGTTGGTTTCGGCCCTGCATGTGCGTGTTTTTGACGTGTGCTGCGCGTTCCGTCACCCCCGATTTTTGCTGTCGCAGCGTCCGCTTTCGGCGACACTTATTTTGTTTTTGCGTCGCGCTGTTGTGGTGCTTCTGTGTCTTGTAGGTCTAGCACTCCGCCCATTCAATCGTGTGCATTTTGCGTCGCCGCCGCGTTGGTTAACACCCTACCCATCAGTTTCGCCAGGCTATAGCCCCCCAAAGCTACCCCACCAATCGGCAAGTCTGGCATCCTTGCAGTTGTTTTGTGTCGCTGTCTAACATCGCCCTGATGATTCAGTAGCACCAGTTAGCATCATACAGCTGGCGCTCCAATTTTTTCGAGCCGAGCTTTTGTTCCTCGTTTTGTTGGCCGCCGCGCGTTGGTTTTGCAATGCCCCTCTGGTATTTTCACCACTTTTCTGCGCTGCAGGGGTGGACGTCTCCTTCACTCAAGTTCCGACTAAGTGCGTTCGCAATTAGCACGTACATTTGGTGACCGCGCCTGAGGCTGCTTTGCGCAGCCGGCTTTTAAAAAGTTCCTGCGTCGTCCGCTCGCTCATACGGGCACGTGATGCACCTTGCGAAGGGTGAGTGCGAGCTGCTCCCCGCGAAGAGGTGGGCGGCCCGATGCCCCTCCAGAAGCCCAAATGGAGGTCGTCTATTTCACAGGGTCCACTGGGGCTTGCGTGCGACCGAGGCCCAGGGGGTTGCCGACGAGGTCAGCGGGTTCGTTCCCGAGCCGTCTCGGGGCCAAGCAGGCGGGAGATTTGTCGAGGATTGAACCGCGCAGTATGCAATATCGGCGCACTGTTTCGTTGCGCGCAACATGGGGCTCCCTGCGCGGACGAAAAAGTTTGAGCCCGAATTGCCGACGCCTTTTCCCAGAATCCGTCCATGCGGGATGACCAGGAAAACAATACGAACCCGGTGCGATGGGGCCTCCACCCCAAGGCAGGTGCGGTATTTTTTTGACGCATGCTGGTCCCTTCAAGTTTTTCGAGGCCGAGGCAAGTGGCGCTGGAAAGCCCAGCGCCGATGCCCTGCCAATGTCTGGTAGGGATCACCGCTCGCCGGAGAGCTGGCTGGTCCCAGCCAGCTTGATCGTCTAGAGGCTGCCGCCTCCCCCCACATGCCCCGAGGGCGGGGGGGTGGATCGATGTTTTCCCAGAGTCTGGCGGTTTCCTGGAAACCCTTGTGATATTGCGCGTCCTCCTGCGTCTCCTCCTCCTGCTCCTCCTCCTCCTCTTCCTCCTTCATCTCTCATTCGCAAAATTCGCCCGTAGACATATTTTCGAACATCTATCGATCAATCAATCAAGCAATCAATCAATCGATCTCTTTCTCTACCTATCTAATTGCCTTCGGCCCATCCCGCCACAATGCTTGGGTTGCTGGATGGTGGTATGAGGCCTAATGGATGTTCGTTGGGATCTCGTGGGAGGGCTCTTGGGGGCCTCTTAGATATAGTTTGGACGCCTCTTGGGGGCGGTTTTGGGGCCTCTTGGGGCCTCCATTGGGCCTCTTGGGGCATCTTCGGGGTGTATTGGGGGCTTCTTGGGGTCTCTTGGGCGCCTCTTGGGGGCCTCTAGGGGCGCAAGGCTCGGATTTTCGGTTCGTCTTCCCTCTCTTGGGCCGCCTTGGGACCCTTTTGGGTCGTTTGGGGCGCTTCTTGGGCCGTCTTGGGCCCTCTTGGGCCATTTTGGGGCCCTCTTGGAGGCTTCTTGGGCCGTCTTGGGGCGGTCCTGGGGGCTTCTAGGGCTGTCTGGAAGCGTTGGGAAGTCTCAAAGGCGAGAACGCCAAAACCCTTCATCAATGATTTTGGCCTCTTGGGGCCCCTCTTGGGAGGCCTCGAGGCGTCTTGGGGCGTCTTGGAGGCCTCTTGGGCCGTCTGGGGGCCATCTTGAGCGTCTTGGAGCGATCGTTCGGCGACTCGGGGCCCTCTTGGACCGTCTTGGGGGCTTCTTGGGGCCCTCGTGGCCCGTCTTGGGGGCCGCTTGGGCCCGAACAAGTCATGCGAGAATACTTCAGGATCTCGAGGGGCACGCGGGAAGCACGCGGGAAGCCCCAAGAGATTTCGGAATTTTGGGTCCGGGCCTCTTGAGGACTCCTCAGGAGTGAGGATTGAGACATCGAGGATCAGGCAAGCGACCTGAGGACACGCCCACTCCGTGCCCAGAGGCGCGGTGGGGGATATTGGATTTTGTTTTCCCTCGAATTTTTTGGACTCCACCCGTGGTGACGAGAACCCCCCAGAGGCCCAACATGTATACACAACGCACCAACATTCAGGTGTGCACAGGCGCAGCGAACAAATAGCATCGCCAGCCTCGAACTCTCGATCGTCGTTCTCGTGGCCTCCCCCCGAGAAGGTGGCTGCGTGGGGCGAGCTCCACGAGGGAGAGTTCCGCGACCAGGCGACGCGCAGCATCGTGCTCAGCGTGGCGCTCTGGCGGCGGTTCGGCTCTGCGGACTTCATCGCGAGGCTGGGCTTCGTCCGTGCCCCGCGGACCCAGGCCTCCCCCACCCCCTTTTTGATTCTCCTGCTTCCTCCTCCTCCTCGTCCTCTTCCTGCCTCTCCCCCCTCCCCCTCTACCCCCCCTCCTCTCCCCCCTCGTCCCACTCCCCTCCCCCTGGCCTAATCCCCTCTCCCTCCCCCTCTTCCGTCTCCCCGTCCTCGCACTCTTCCGCCCCCTCGTCGAGTTCTCGCACGAGCAGGGTTATTCACATTGCGTCGTCGCCAAGTTTTGGGAGTGTCTCTAGGCTTGGCAGAAGGGCCAGTCTCACAACCCGCCGCCCCTGCTGACCCCGAGCACTCTTTCTTGTCTCCTCCTGCTCCCTCCTCCCTTCCCCTCCTCCACGACCTCCGCCCCTTCGCTCCGCCTCTCTGCCCCTCTCCTCGTCGTCCCCTTCCTGCTGCCCCTCCTGCTCCCCCTCGCCGTCAGGGTCCTCTGGCTCTCCAGATCTCCGCCACCGTCCAAGCCACCTCTTCGACAGTCCTCCGGGGGTCTTTGAGAGCGGCGAGGGGGGGCACCCGCTTTTCGCTCCCCCAGAGGCGGAGGTGAGCGCAATTGTGGAGCGCGTCCTCGGCGTGGCCCTGGGCCTCTGGCGCGAGGGCCTCCATCGGGGGGCCAGTGAGCAGGTGCCTGCCACTGCCATCCTCCCCCCCCCCCCTCATCCCTCCCCTCCTCCCGCTCATCCCACTCCTCTTCGTCGTCCCTGCCACCGTCCCTCCCTCGTCCTCGTCCTTCCCTTTCCCGCCTCCTCCGTGCTCGCAATCGCGCCGCCGGAGTTGGCGGGGCAGGCACCAGTTCTGGCTCCCCGCTCGTGCGTGCACCGATGCGTACGGGCCTGCTAAGCACTGCTGGGCGTTGGAGAGATCCGCGTGGCTGGACGGTGCCGGTCCAGGGCGGGAGTCTGCCGCGCAGCTGACGAGGCAGGCGCTGGCTGGGGTGCTGCGGGATAGGGAGCACGACGGCGATGCTCTACGTAATCTTCGGCCGATGCGAGAGGGCCTTGCTGCACAGGGCGGAGAGGCGAGCATGCGAGGCTTCTACGAGGCCTGCTTCAACGGCAAGACGTGCCCACTGAGGCTCATCTGCGAGCAGTGCGGCACTGTGGCGCGTGCTCTTGCCTGTGGGTCGTCCTCCCAGACGTGGCGCAGCTCGGCCGACGCTCTCGGCGCGGTGCTGGGCCCCGCGTGCGTGCAGGGCTCCCACGCCGCGGAGGTGGTGCGCGACCTGTTGCCCACCCCGCTGATGGAGCACTGCACCGACCTGGACAGGTGGGCGCCCGTGGACGAGCCCACGCGCCGCTGCCTCAACAGACTCCACGGCCGGGCCCCGGCCGCGGCGCCGCCCGCCGACCAGCTCCTCCGGGAGCTGCTGGCGGTCTTCGGCCGCCGCATGCAGCTCTGGCCGGCCTCCATCGCCGGGGCGCCCAGCGTGGAGCTGGGGCTGCCCGAGCTGCGGGCGCAGCTCGCCGAGTTCGAGCGGTACCTCCGGGCCAGGGCCGGCAGGCCCGAGCGGAGCACGTTTCACCCCCGCGCGGCCCTGTGACGGCCGCGCGCCGGCAGAAACGGGCCCGCCCCGGTCTGGGCCTCCCGGATGGGTCGGAGCGGATGGGGCCGGAGGACCGCGCCGCACCGCCGAGGCGTCGGCGATGCGGCTCGATGTGGAGCCCGACTCGCTCCTTGTCGACGTCGCCGATGCGCCGCCGATGTCGACGCTGCATCGCCGGTGCATCGCCGATGCGCCGCCGACGCACTGGCGACGCAGCGCGATCCTCCGACCTCCTGCGACGACCCCATGCAGGAGGCCTCCGCACAGGAGGAGGGCCGCTGGGTGCCCCCGGGCCTCTCGGCGACATCTGGGCCCAGCCCTGGCCCACTCCGTTCCGCCCTTCGCCCCCCTGCCACCACACCTCTAATATCAAGTCGGGCCCGACATAGTAATTTATCCCAGTGCGGCCCTACCTAGGAGTTGGAGCCTCTAGGAAAGCAACAATATGCTATGCTATGCTATGCTATGCTATGCTATGCTATGCTATGCTATGCTATACTATGCTATGCTATGCTGCGCTGTGCTATGCTAAGCAATGCAATGCTATGCTATGCTAATGCTATGCTATGCTATGCAATGCTATGCTATGCTTGGCTATGCTATGCTGTGCTATGCTTGGCTATGCTATGCTGTGCTAATGCTGCGCTGCGCTAATCTACGCTAAGGCAAGCTAAGCTATGCTAAGCTAAGCTAAGCTAAGGTAAGCTAAGCTAGGCTAGGCTAAGCTAAGCTAAATTAAGCTAAGCCAAGCCAAGCTAAGCTAAGCTAAGCTAAGCTAAGCTAATCTGAGATAAGCTAAGCTAAGCTAAGCTAGGCTAGGCTAGGCTAAGCTAAGCTAAGCTAAACTAAGCTAAGATGAGATAAGCTAAGCTAAGCTAAGCTAAGCTTAGCTAAGCTAAGCTGTGTGAACCCAGGGGGCGCAACTGGGGGAACCGCGCGGCGGGGACTGGGGGAACCGCCCGGGGCTTTTTACAAAGTAAGAACCCTCTAGGCAGAACCTAGGTAGGGAACAACTAGTCAGGGGACGTTTTTTTGAGTATTTTTTGACAAGTTATGGGGTATTTAGGGTATTATATATATTTTCCGCCCAAGATCCCCCTGTAGGGGCACAGGCCCGACTTAACTCTACTACCGCTTGCATGCCGCACCCGGGGACGGAGCAGACGGGGGGGGGTTTAGGTGCGAGGACGGCCAGAGGCCCCGAGAGGTGATGCCGCAGCGGGCGACGTGGCTGCCGCTCCTCGGCTGCCTGCTCCAGGGGGCTCGGCCCGCGTGCGCACCCCAGGGGGTGTCCCTCGTCCTCGGAGGGCGCCAGGGCGCGCGCGCGCGGCTGCGCGCGTGCACAGGAGGAGGAGGAGGAGGAGGAGGAGGAGGAGGAGGAGGAGGAGGAGGAGGAGGAGGAGGAGGAGGAGTGGAGGAGGAGAAGGAGGAGGAGTGAGGGGAGGAATGAGGATGAGGATGAGGATGAGGATGAGGATGAGGAGGAGGAGGAGGAGGAGGAGGAGGAGGAGGAGGAGGA